TATATACAACTGTAACAAGAAATAGTTCAAATTTGCATCTCCCCTCGTCAAATCTAACAGCATTTCAGAAAGGTCCACAGTATTTTGGAATCAAAATTTATAATAGTCTTCCACGCAAAATAAAACAGTTATCCAAAAACAAAAATCGATTCAAGAAAGCACTATTACAATTTCTCCATTTACATTCATTTTATGGTATTGATGAATTTTTTGATTACACGGTTAAGAGGATTGATAATTGATTTCATTGGGATTAAATACTGAATTAATGAAAAGTTAAATTACAAGTTTTATAATTTTAAAATTATGTTTACATAAATATTTTAACATGTATTATATTTTTTGTAATTATTATATTTAATTGTTATATTGGACTATTGTCTATATCCTGAGTCTTACGACCTTGTAAAGGATTTTTGACATGTAAATAAATGAAANTTAGGCAAGACTTGCTCTGTAAATTTCTCAGCTAAACATAATTTTACCCAAAAATTAAATATTGAATATGGAAACAAAATTTTATTAGAGTCAAATGAGGTAAAATTCTTGGNAGTTAAGATTTCACATAGTGTGAGGTGGAATCCATATTAGGTCCCCTCGGCATGTCGGCTTCCATATGTCCTATTGTGCCTGTACTGCTGATAATGTTATGGAGAATTTGATGGAATGAGGATTGGCAGGGGAAACCGAAGTACTCGGGGAAAACCTGCCCCAGCGCCATTTTGTCCATCACAAATCCCACTTGACTAGACCACAGCGGTGGTTTCACTTTTCTTTGCATGTGAAGTAGAGAAATGCAGTAGTCACAACTACTGAAGATAGTGGAGCTGACATTAATATGTGAAAGGGCTGAATCTTCCAAATGGGTCATTGCTAGTATGAGTGACCAAAATGAACCAAGTCAAATTGCAGATGAATTTAATAGCAAAGATAAGGTAACATCAGAATGTGCCAGTATTAAGTCTGTAGAGTTAGAGAGTTCAACTCTCTTGTTTGCAAGTTTTTTCAAAGTTCATGCAGGCTGAAGGGTATAAATTGGATCATTTATTAAGATTGTGTGCATCATTTAACATGTGTGATGCAGCACCTTGCACCTTGTGACACTTGGCAGTGGTGGTTATATAGAAGGGTGATGGCTTCTGGTCCCTCACAGCACTTCTTGCTTTACAGGACCGGCTGAGATGACATAATATTTGTGTAACAAAATATAATTTTTAGGCTCATGTAAAGTGTTCCCCAAGGGGCTACTCTGGGCTAGCCATTCTGCCGTAACCAGTTGTAACTTCTGAAAAGACATTTCGCAAGATGGTGCTGGCTCCCACAAAGTAGCCTCAGTTGTTTTCAAGTTGGGATGTTTCTTACAACTGATGAATCCTCCTCCTTTATGCCTGACCTGTAGGTTCAGGAGGGGAACTTCTCAGATGAAGGCTTGTTGTAAAAGATGTAGGAAGGTGGGGAGTGAAGGATTAAGAACATTGAACACTGCATTGAAGAAAAAGGCAAAATAGGCCATCCTGAGCTTTGTGGTTTGATAAGATGAGTCAGTGAAGAAATCGTTGTTCTGCTTTGTGTGCATTTTGTGTGGTGGATATTCTACAATGAACTGTGTCAGGCATTCATGATTTGAACATGTATCAGAGGTGATGGAGAAGCATAATTTGTCTGATATCTATGTTAGGAATGATGTGTAATGAAAAATTTTAGGTTCTTTGAACAGTTTGATTCAACTGCATGATGACTGTCACTACCGTATTTCCATTTGATGCTACAGTGAATTCGTGGAAAAGAATAGACACAGGTTAAGTATAGTGGAATATGTTAGATGGTGGTAAGGGGACATCATGAAACTGAAGCCTTTTGTAATAATGACAGCTATTTGGATTCATTGTCAGAGCTGGCAAATTTGGGTAGCATTTTAGATAAACATCTCGATAACGCTGTCACAGGTTTTAGAGCTATTGGACATTGTTCTGATAGCCCCAACATCAACTGTGGAATTTGTCATTGTTATTCATAAAATGTTATTGATAAAACTTTTAAGTCCAAGAAGCAAGTAATTGGGCAGTTTGTGAGTAAGAAAAATTGACAGGCAGAGTCCCTCTATGAGTAAGGTAAAGTCATGAATTCAAATTTAAGTTTAATTTTCTTCCAAATGCTTGGACCATGTTAATGAAGATGTGAACACTTAATTGAACCAAAACATTAAAAGTATAGGGGGAGGGACATTATTAATTATCTATAGTATTTATGAAAGGGTTCAAAGAAGATGAGGTGGGCTTTGGTATTACCATTGTTGAAACTGATACTAGATGGCAATAATGAAGTCTCTTCAGGCCGTCAGCCATATCAATCTGGAGTTCATATCCAGGGTTTCATAGAGTCCCTGCATCTTCATCTTCAGAATTTGACTTAAACCCCTCATGAAGGGGGTCAGAGACAGTTTCTGGAACAGTGACTGACAGCCAGTTGCATGTAGTCCACATGAAACCTTGAAATCATATAATATACCAAAGGGTCAGATAACTAATACCAAGAAGCAGGTGTTGTCTTAGGAGTTCATGCTAAGACCATTTGCAACTCATAAGTTCTGTATGCGTAATTAAACATCATTTCTAAATTATATGTTTTTATTTAAATTCATCCCAGCAGTCTTTTTACACAGTTTTTCTATAATAATGGAGCCAGAATAGCACAGTGGGTATAGTGACTGGCTATGGGCTGGATGACCAAAAGGTTGTACCAGGTATGGTCAAGAATTTTCACTTCTCTATGTTGTCCAGAGCAGCTCTGGGGTCCACCCAATCTCCTCTACAATGGGTACCAAGGGCGCTTTCCCGGGGTCAAAGCAGCTGGACCGTGAAACTGACCACTCACCTCCAACTAATGCCAAGGTCAAGAAAACTTGTATCTCTACATCCACTCCATACGCCTTCATGGAGTAGTGCTTAATTAGTTAATTAGTTACCTTTTTACCTTTTCTGTAATAATGGCTAAAGATCTGAGTCACATTAAGTATATATGTTGCAGGGTGTGGATGCTGATGCAATGGAAATTCTACTTCAGTCAGTAAGCAGAAAAGAAGTAGATATCTTGAAGTCAAATAATATCCTGTCAGTACTTCAGGCTTCAAACATGCTTCAGTTCGAATCCATTCAGAAGACTTGTGTTGAGATGATTGTTCATCAGTGGCTTAGTGTCTCAACTTGCCTCCAGACAATGGTAACTGCTGAAGAACTAGACCTAATGACGCTGCATCATAAGGCTCAAGCTTTGGCACTGTGGGAATTTTCTAAAGTGAAAGAAACTGATGCTTTCCTTGAACTCCCAGTTGGCTACATAGAAAAATATCTTGGAAATGATGGACTGAATGTTACACAAGGAGAATTTGAAGTGTTTGAAGCTGGTCTTTGTTGGTTACAAGATAAACCAGAAGAAAGAAAGGAATGTGTTCTCAGAATTCTAGACTGTGTTCGGTTTGCTGATATTCCATTGTCAGATATTAAAACAATGCTTCTGTATCCAGTTATTGGTGAGAATACAGAATATGTACAGATTGTACAGTCCATAATATATATTAAAGGAGGGAAAAAACCAGAAGAACTTTTCAGTATTGATGAATATGATGTCCGAACTCAAACATCAAGAGATTCTTTGGAAATAGATGAAGGGGTATTATTCAGTGAGGAAATAAATTCTGCATCAGAACAAAAGAAAGCCAAACAATGCAGTTGTTCTTCCAAGAAAGATAAGGTCCAGGTGTATGTCGAAAGGCTTAAAATCATAAACAGCTGTTGCTGCTGTACTTCTGTTGAAGAAACTACAGTTCCTGTCAAGGACGGTGAAGTGTTTGTAGAAACCAGTCACCCAACAGATAGTGAGATCCATGAAGAAGACCATATCCGATTTACTGTTGCAACAGTTACAGCAGCAAGAAGACTACTGTCCACACCGTCACGTACATTGCCACTGCTGCCATGTGTAGTTGGCCATAAAAGAGATTGGATAGGTTTCAAACAAAGAGATTCAAATGACAATAATGAAGGTGGAAAAATTACAGCTTGCGATGGTAAACCATACGTTATATATTACCAAGAAGGGAAAACACAGCACCCAGTACCGTTTCTTCATTTGTCAAAGGCAAAAGAGGGACCTCTTGAACCAACAGGTTACAAGGTTATCTGTAAAGGTATGTGTCTGCATGAAAACTACAATAAAATGAGAAATTGGAAAAGGTTCTATACTTCAAGACCAATTTTATGCCCTTCTTGCATATAATTAAGCAAGATTGTTTTATACAAAAAAATTGAATTGTGATTTTGATACCATCATGTTTTCTCTGTTACTGCCCTCCCTTTAGCATTGTCACGGTGTGTTTGGTTTTTTCACTGATTACAGAACTTGTTTAAAGTACACTGGTTGAACTGCAGTACCTATAGACATCTGTGCTAGTATGTAATGTTTTGTGTGATGAGCCTATCACCATTGTAGAATGTATTATTATGCAAAATATTGTGATAATTATTTGCTGACTTCTAGTAGTCCAGAAGCAGGTAGAAGTTACATGGTGAACTGGTTATCCAGTATCAAAGAATCTGGAATTCTCATGCCTCCAACTGGCAAATATTTTAGAGAAAGATGAAGAAAGCAGTGTTCTGGGATTTGGCACTGTGTATATGTGGTGCTAACCGACATTTCAGAGGAACATATCGCCTCCATCTTCAGGGTAGAAGGAAAAATATAAGAAATCCGCAAGCGAAGAGACCGTGAGAACCGGTAAAAGCAGACTGAAGACCCTGGAGATGGAGGCGATATGTTCCTCCAAAACGTAGGTTAACACCACATATACACAGTGGCAAACTCCAGAAGACTGCTCTCTTCGTAGTCACTGCTGTGAAAGCCTCAAATCTTACATTTTAGGGAAACTTTACAATTTTTATAACATTACTTCAAAAACAGATTTTCAGTGCACATATGTTTACTTGCCATGTCCCTCCAGTTGCCATTTGCATTGTTGTACATCATCCCTGAGTCACATAGGTATCTTTGCAGTAGAGGCCAGATGAATTTGTGATTACAGTACAGTATTTCTGAAATATTTTACTGATCAATCCTCTGTGTTGTCTTAGAAGACTCATGCAAAAAAAAAACAACATTTTCTCAGAAGAAAGCAGTCTTCTGGGATTTGGCACCATGTATATGTGGTGTTAACCGACGTTTCGGAGGAACGTATCGCCTCCATCTTCAGGGTAGAAGAAAAAATATAAGAAATCTGCAGGCGAAGAGACCGTGAGAACCGGTAAAAGCAGACTGTGTGGAAATATACACAGCCTCAAATCTTACAACATTTTCTCACATAGGCAGCAGATTCATGTAATGGTGTACCCCATTCCTCATATGTGCTAGATAATTGGCGGTACACTGAATTTAAAATGGATTAATGTGACTTTCAAGTCTTATGTCTGGGATGTGGAAGGAGCAGTCACTAGATATTGTTGAGACTTAGGGTGTGATTTTTGCCACTCTTGTGTAATTTGTATTGCACCTGGCCACATCTCTTATCTCTCTCTCAGATGACATGTTTGTATATCAGTGACTTGGCTAGCCATGGATGGAATACAATGAGGGTGGTGTGAACCGCATCTATCATCTGGCGGGTCGCTATTTTTAGCCAGCTACAGACAGAGCATTCTTGTTATCTCAACACTTGAGAGGTACCTAAGGCATGTAGGTTGGTATGTCTGGCCACGGCTAGTGTGGCGGCTACTGGTGTTCAGAACAGTTCTTATCTCGGTGCGTCTGTTACATTCACGATGCCATTTACATTTTCATTTGAGGAGTACGCAGATATGATTTATGTGTACGGGTTTTGTGACGGTAACTCAGTTCTTGCCACAGTTGAATATCAGCAACGGTTTCCAAATCGTAGAATACAGAACCAGAGAGTGTTTACTGGAGTTTACCAGGCATTGCAAGATACTGGTAGACTTCCCAGCGTTCATAATGCAGCTGAGCGTGGTATTAATGAAGGCATCAGTGAAGAAGGCATTGTTCATATGGTACACCGCAGTCCACATACGAGTATGCGAAGAATTGCAAGACATCTTCGTTTTCCCCAGACGAGAGTGTGGAGAATACTGCATGCAGAGGTCATGTATCCATACCATGTGCAGCGAGTGCAATATCTCCGACCTGAAGATTTTGCTGAGAGGCTGAACTTTTGAAAGTGGCTCAGTGGCAGTCGCCATTTGCATCATTACATTATGTTTACAGACGAAGCGCAATTTAATCGTGACAGTATCAATAATACACACAATTCTCATTTGTGGGGAGATGAGAATCCCCATGCCACTGTTGAAAGCAACTTTCAACAACGTTTCGGTGTCAATGTGTGGTGTGCAGTTCTGGACGATCAGCTGATAGGCCTTTTCATCTTGGAAGGTCATCTTACAGGAGAGGCTTACTTCAGATTTCTACAGGAGGAATTGCCCCAACTTTTGGAGGATGTGCCTTTCGATGAACAAAGTCATATGTATTTCCAACACGACGGTGGTGCTCCTCATTCTTCACGTGGAGTTACAAATTTCCTGAACTGTCATTTCCCTGGGCGATGGATCGGATGTTGTGGTCCCCACCATTGGCCAGCCAGGTCTCCAGACTTAAGCCCACTGGATTATTGTGTGTGGGGATGGATGAAAGAACTGGTTTATAATGTGAAGGTGGCAACGTGAGATGCTTTGCTCGGTTGCATTCTGGACGCCGTTGACCACATAAGAAACAGCCAGCAGAAGCTGCTATGTGCTACCCGTGTGGTTCACAACCAAGCGGCAGCCTGTGTTGCGGCCAGCGGTGGCATTTTCGAAAATCAGCTTTAAGCACCAATCAATTAAAATTAAAGGTAATTTCACAGAGATAACTTTACATTCATACCTTAAATGTATCATGTATTATGCTGGTTTATTATTTTGTTCCGTTTATTGTCAGTTATCGCTACCTTCTNTTAATGCCCTCCATTTAACCTTCCCTTCTCTCCCCCTAATGCATACTCTGTACCAGCTCTGGCCCACTACCTGCTGGCCATTCCACCAGACCCTTCCCCTCCCCCTCTCTACTATTTCCCTATGTAGCCACACTCCTCTCCTATTATACAGCTGTGTTTACTTGACTGGATTCAGTCTATTGCACCTGCTCTGCTGGTTCACTCGCGGATTTCTTCTTGTCTTCTACCATAAAGATGGAGGCGATACGTTCCTCCAAAACGTTGGTTAACACAATTTCTGCACAGTGTCACATCCCAGAAGATGGCTTTCTGTCAAGTTTTTATATGTTTCATCAATCCAGAGAACCCATTAATTACTTGTCACATTAGCAGGATACTTAAGGCTTCATTCAAGCAGACATCTTATCAATGCATGACATCATACACTGTCAGCTTGCCTGTAATATTGCATCATCCAGTAAACAGTGGAATTGAATTAACCATATAGCTCACATTCATAAACGTATTTCACTTGCAATATGTCCAGATTCTTCTATGTGCTTCGCTGTCCACATTTCCATGGTAATGAGGTCAACAGTAGAACTTCGGTTATGTAGCAGCGAAGGTACCTATAATTACAAATTGTTACATTTTCGGTTACAGTTTCATTTCATTTGCACCCTTGTATACTAACGTTTTCAACGTTAAAATGTTCCAGCATGATGATAGTTTTTGTTATGTAGCACTGAGAACCTCTTATAAAAATCTGCACTGCCCTCCCACCTCCTTTTGAGTGTTAAGAGGGGAAAAACAGAGGGACATGACAAAGAGTAAATACATTATTCTAAAATGGCTCTCTAAAAGTTTGTGACAGTAGTTCATTTTATATACAAGTATGTTAGACATGTCCATTGTCTGAATACTTGTATTGACTCTACCCCTGTTTTCAGGCGACGGGTTGTCATAATACTGACAAATATGTAATTTTCTATTCCAATATTAATGGTAAGAGTTGAGATTGAGATTATTTTAACACTAAGCTAGTGCCCGAACGGCAAGAACATTGAGCCAAAAATTCCTTTCAGTTATAGCTGAATTGTTTCATGTGGATAGACACATTGAAAATAACGTATCTACAGAATGTTTCTAATGTGTCTCAAAAGTCAGTTTTTAATGAAATAATATGTATTTATTTATATTTAATTTATGTTAAAAGTATTACTTGGGAGCTGGGATAGCATAGTCGGTATAGCGACTGGCTATGGACTGAATGGCTGAGAGGGTGGAATTCGAATCCCAGTAGGGTCAAGAATTTTCTCCACAGTATCCAGACCGGCTCTGGGGTCCACCGAGCCTCCCCTCTAGTCGGCATTGGTGGTAAAGAGGCAGGGGCATGAAGCTGACCACTCACCTCCAAGTAGTGCTGAGGTGAAGAAAATGTGGACCCTATATGTCTACTCCCCGATATGCTTTCATGTCTTAGTGCTTAGTTAGTACAGACACAACTTTACCATTAAAAGTATCACTTGAATACTTAATTTTTTCTTACAGGGCAAGATTTGTACATGATTGGTGGTGAATATTTGCTAGGTTATGGCAACTGGCATCAGTCTGTTTGGAAATATGATGTAATCAGAGAGATGTGGAATTTTGAAACAAGGTACCTTATGTATTAAAACATTGTCAGTAACTTTGGACATTCACTTCTTTCTTTAATGCAGCTCTGTTTGCAATCTTTCCTTAATTTGAAATAACATTAAAATCACAATCAGCTGCTACATGTTTTAGTCTTTCTTGGCCATCCTCAGGCAACTGTTCACTTGTTGAAACCACTACACAGCATTAGTTCTTACGTTAAAATATTCTTTTATTACATTTTTGTCATTCACATTAAAGTACATTTGTTTGGGAAGATAGCTCTTTATCTTTTCTTGCAGTATTTTATACTTGTGGTGTCCATGTTTTTTGTATTGTTTTATGTAGACCTGTCAATATCGGTGTGGTGTTATCATTATTTTTAAGTGCCTCATTAGTATGTATGATCCGACTAGTTGAGTATATGTCACGTTTGTCGGTAAGTTTACATTAAGTTAGATTGAGGATGTGGTACTGGATCATAAAATTAAGGCAAAAATAACTGCCTCCTAACCTTTTAATGAACTAGGTTAGTTATGGGTGGTTCAGAATAACTTAGTGCTGGGCAAAAGTTTGTTTAGTTATCTCAGCAAGATTCATAAGAATTTGGGGAAAGGAAATCTGATTGGTTCTGTCAGCACAAATAAAGTAATAAGAAATCTGCATGCTGTGGTTATGTATTTTGGTAGGGAAAGATCTGGGAAAGTGTCCACTTGAAAGGCAGAAGGATATGGGAGGATGATACAAGTGAGGTAGTAAGGTATAGTGGAAATATCCTGTTCACATGGTATGCAGTGAGGAACTGGTTGTATGATTTTGGTGGTGGAAGCTGAGATCTTCTCATATGACTTCTGAAGTAGGAATTGACACTCACTTATTACCCTTCTGGATGTGGAAGGAGACAAAATTAAACATTTTCAGCAAGATGAAACACCATCTACACGAAATTTTAAAGAATGTATTAGCTTTTGTTTTATGATACTATTCTGTATTCCTGTCATGAGGTGTAAGCATATTCAATACTTCGTTCTTGTACGCTGTCATTTGTTCGTTGAGAAAAGAATTTGTTGCATCCACAGACCACTGGAAAGTTGTTATGTTGTCTGTATTATGTTTCAGCATAGCATCACCACGGAGGCATCACTCTGTATGCTACCTAGATGACTACATCTACATTATAGGTGGCTTTGGTCGGCATCGTGTTATAATGGATTCTGTTGAAAAGTATCATGTTGGATCAAGTGAGTGATAGTTATGAGTATGGTTCATATCTAGTGAAGGGGTGTACAGCAGGAAACCCAGATTATGTACAACCAGAGGATAGAGGAAGAGCCTGCTTCAGCATTGTTAATAATTGCTATTGGTATACATAGTTTTAAAGTGGACTGTTTGTACTTCAGTTGTGTGTGAATTTCACTTTTCTTGCTAGGTCATTGAATTTTTGTAATATGTTTTTTTAATATTTGAAGATAGGGTCTGTTAATGATGAAGTACCAGCTGCTTTTTAATGGAAGTCAGTGCAAGGCCACTTAGTCCTCCTCTTCCTCCTCTCTGTATCGACCTGCAGTACAATTTTATTCTATTGAGGACTGAGGAGGAATGTTAAACTGATGCATATATAGATGTGATTTTGAGTACTAGCGCTGCCAACTTATAAACTTTTGGCATCGCCATTCTTAACTGGTTTTTCATTGTATATGGTTCACCTTCAGGATAAGGTTGTTTGATGGATATGACACTGTTAATTCATTTTTAAAGCATAGCAAATTCAGTATTGTATGTGGCAGCTTCAGGAGACTGTTTCATAGAAGTGAAATGCCGTAATGTCCAGAAGTGACACAAATTCATCGTTTGGAAATTTCCAAAAGCCAGAAGGAAAGAGACCACAGGGAAGACCAAGGCGTAGGTGGTTGGACAATATTAGAATGGATCTTAGAGAGATAGGATGGTATGGATTGGATAGATCTGGCTCAGGATAGGGACCAGTGGAGGGCTCTTGTGGACACGGTGATGAACCTTCGGATTCCATAAAATGCTGGGAAATTCTTGAGTAGCTGCAGAATTGGCAGCTCCTCAAGAAGGGCTCGGCTCCATGAGTGAGTGAGTGAGTGAGTGAGTGAGTGATTTAACTGAGTATATAGGATGTCCATTTTCTCATTTAAAGATCATCTGCATTCAACTGTAGGGTCTTTGTTTCTCCATTTGCTTTGAGTCTTCACAGATTCATTGTTGGTAGCATTCCAGATTTCCCAAAGCCATCACACCACATTTTTTTATAATTTACGAGGGCAAATTGAAGTCTTTGCCCCTATTTTTTTTTTCAGCCACAATAATACACATACAGGGAAATCAAAATACAGGCAGTGTTCTAAGTACCTTTGACTATTTTCCACATAGTCACCACCCTGGTTCAGGCATTTGTCCCATCGCACCTCTAGTTTGGAGATGCCACTGTTGTAGAATTCAGCTGGTTGAGCACAGAACCACCGCCGGACAGCGGTTTTAGCTTTGTCATCGGAAATGAACCTCTGGCATGCCAGGAACTTCTACAGTCGATCTTCCTGGATCTCACTGTCACCGGAGATGAAACATGGGTATTGCATTTCACTCCAGACTCCAAGCAGCACAGCATGGTGTGGAAACATCCCGGTTCACCTGTCATGAAGAAATTCCGCAGAACGCCATCCGTTGGGAAGTTGATGGTCACGGTCTTTTGGGATCGCCGAGGACCACTCCTGCTGGATTTCATGCCACGAGGTGCCACCTTCAACGCGGACAGCTCTTGTGGCACACTCGCACATCTGAGCTGCAATCAGGAAAAAGTGATGTGGTTCTCCTCCATGACAATGCCAGGCCTCATGTGGCAAACAGGACCACCACCCGACTGCAGTCATTCGGATGGGAGATTATGGAGCATGCACCATATAGTCCAGACCTCGCCCCCAGTGGTTACTACATGTTCGGTCCGCTGAAGAAGATCCTGGCAGGCCAGAGGTTCATTTCAGAAGATGACGCAAAAACCACTGTCCAGTGGTGGTTCTGCAATATGTTCCTCTGAAACGTCAGTTCACGCAAAATCTACATGGTGCTACATCCCAGAAGACGGCATTCTTCATAGTTACCGCTGTGAAAACTTCAAATCTTACATGAGTACCATTTGTCACGCAGTGACCAAGTGATATTCAAGTTCTGTCAGTTTTAACTGTTGTATTAACAGCATGGATTCAGTAACTTTGCCAAAGATGAAGGGTTGAATCAAATGATCTTGTAATGGACTACACCAGGCATTAACTTTGGGGCTGTTCTCTAATGTACTCCACTGTAACAAGAGGGTGTTATGATCCCTAGATGTGTACATTTGATTGTTTACCCTTCCAGAAATATGAAATGAAGTCTCATCCAAGAACATGATTTTTTCTCAAAAAAAAATGTCTGCGTCTATTTTCTCAAGCATGGTCATGGCAAATTGCTTATGGGCTATTGCCTGCACCACTTGCAACTTGTAAGCATACAGATGCAGATGTTTTCATAATACCCAATACACCGTTAAATGTGGCACTTCTAACTCATGCTGCAGCTTGAGTATATTTACATGGACTGCAGACAAAGACCTTACATATGCTATTGACATTTTCATCAGATACGAGTGGATTCTCCTTATGCTTCTTGTACAAAACACTTTCAGTCATATTAAACTGTATCAGGTATTATCAATAGTCCTGATAGTGGCATCATGTGATATGTTGTAAGATTTGAGGTTTTCATGGAAGTGACTATGAAGAAAGCAGTCTTCTGGGATGTGGCGCCGTGTGTTAACCGACGTTTCGGAGGAACATATCGCCTCCATCTTCAGGGTATAAGAAAAAAAAGGAAATACAGAATACTGCTTTCTTCATGTGATATTTTGTTCTGAAACGTTTTTGCACCCATGTTTCTGACTTTCTTTCAATAAACCATTTCAAGTACTTTGCATTCTTTTGTGTGTTCATGGTGATTGAGCTGATGGTTGACACAGTGAAAGAGAAGTCAAGCTGCTATTGCAACAGTTGACAGTGATATACTGCAGCATAGAAGGATGGACCTCAAATATTGCTTGGATATTGTATATGTGACATGTGGTCTCCACGTTTAATGCGTTTCATGTTCCGAGTAAACTTTGAGAGCTTCTCTCACAGATGATGCACGGTGTGTCTGTGTCTTTCATGCCGTTTTTATATGCACTATACATGTCTTTTGATTTTCCTCTGATCCAGATACTGATGTTTGTATTCCTTCAATTCATCTCTATAATTTTCTTCACAAAACTGTACATGAAGCACATAATGGCATACTCTGCATTAATAAATCATAAATCTTGTTTCATTGTTATCTATCCTTTGCCATCAGAAGTACTGCGAGCCATAATGAAATGCACTGTAAGCTCAGTCTTGTGATATTATGAAGACTTTCTGCACAAACATATGAAAACAAATAAGGCTACAAGTTTGAAATGCCAACCTTTGGAAACAGTGGAAATACGTAACTGTGTGTTTACTTTCCTTCCTTCAAATGATCTCCTCAGTAGCCTCTTAAAAATCTGGCTGTTGGACTTCAGGTCGGTCTGTATACAGAATTTGCATTATTACTGTGTCCATTGCATGATGTGCATAAACTGAACGCACACACACTGGAAATTGTGTCTGCAAATTTCACCTCAGAAACCACTGGTCAGATTTTTGATGAGATTTTATGTTTGAGGTCCTTACAAAAATTTTAGGACCATTTTGATGTTCATACAGATTGAAATAAACTTTCATAAAGGAGTAAATGTGTTTGAGTATCATTTTACAACTGTTTGATAAACAGTCTTATATGAAAGTAGTCTCATTAATATAATAAGTGCTGGAGGGATTTTGATTACATCTGATATTAAGGGTAGGGTAATGGTGTGAGACATGAACCTTATATCTTAATGGGTGTTTTATAAGACTGAAATCACACGAGACATCATACAAAGAATGCATGTGAAAACTGTATCATTTAGTAGGGATTGCACCTTTCCAGCCCTTGGTTTCTTATGTGGTTTTTGCACATGGCTATCATTTTAAGATTTTAATTAATGTTAATTGGTCCAGTGAATCAGATCTGTTATTTGCTTTCAGTTATTACTACCAACTGCCTTGAAACTTCTTTACACATCAGACTTTCAGGCCTCTTCCAATTCAAAAATAATTTTTGAATATATGAGTGATTTAGGCATTTGGCAGGGCTTCTTGAACAGGGGATGATTCATCACAAGGCCCCAGCCTTCACAGGATAACATTAACAGAAAATACTCAGACGAACATCCATGCTCCAAGTGAGATTCAAACCCATGATCCCAGTTTTCGAATGGTAAAAAACATTAAACATTTAAACCATGCAATCAGTTTGATCAGCCTACCTTGAATCTAGGAATGAAAAATGAAGCAACAATATTTACATTTACAGATATTATGTGTTTCCCATCAAGTTTTCATGAAACTGTAGGCTGAAGTGAAATTAGGACCATGCCAGCAAAACATTTGAAGGATATGAAGTATTACTAAATTCCATAACACAGAAAAGAAAGAGCCATGCTTCAGCAGCATATAGCCTCAAATTCCAATTCTGACCCCAGAACCATTCTGGATATGCTGATGAAGAGAATTCCAGCACCCCTGCCAGGAATAGAATCCTGGTTATGTAGTCCCCACTCCACAATTTTAGTGAACCTTTCCAGACATGGGATTCCTGTGTCCATATGGAGCATGTCCTGACATCATCATCATCATCAGTAATCTGTCAGACGACAGGTCCACAGTCTCTTTCAAAACAATTCCTCCACTTAATGCGATCTAGAGTTTCTCCTTCAAATGACAGTATCCTCTTCTGTCCCCAAGGTCATCCAGCATCTTCTTACGTCTTCTTCCTCGTCTTCTTGTCACTTCTATCCGCCCCTCTATCTTTCCTTCAATAACTTCTTTTAGAAGGCAGTTTCTGCGTAAAACATGACCAATCCAATTAGCCTTCCATTTTCTTATTTCATGTAGGATATTCCTCTGCTCACTGACTCTAATTAACACTTCTTCATTTCTCACATAATCGGTCCAACTGATCTTCTCCATCCTTCTCCAACACCACATTTCGAAGCTTTCCAGGTGTTTTTGATCTACTGCCCTAAGTGTCCATGTTTCAGCCCCATACAAAGCGATGCTCCAAACGTAGCATTTCACTAGTTTCTTTCTCAAATTTGAGTCAAATTTGCTGGTAAAAAGATTCTTCTTCTTGCTAAACGCAGCTTCTGCCATGGCAATCCTAGATTTAATTTCACACGTACACCTTCCATCATCTGTTAACAAGCTACCCAAATATTTAAAACATTTCACATTCTCCAGTTGTTTTGGTCTATCATTATTGTGACTGGGGTTGGTTGTCTTGAAATTTTCATTACTCCACATTCATTTCCATGCCATAGCACCTTTCAGTTTCAATTAGTCTATTAATCATGCCCTGTAGCACAGTTTCTTCCTTAGCCATTAACACAAGGTCATCTGCATATTTCACAGTTTGAATAATTT